CCCTGAATTCCGCCGACTTGAAGCTGGTGCCGGCATCGGTTCTGATGCCGTCTGGTGGACCTTGGTATGTATCGATCCAACAGCGCTTCAGCGTTGCCCACACGGTCTTGGCTTGTATATCTCGAAGGAATTGGCCTCCTTGGAATGATGTGGCTTCATCGATTATATGGAGTACTGGTCGACTGTTCAAATAGAAGATATCAACGACGATTTCCCAATTGAAGTTGAGGTCGTCGTGTAATTTGAACTTGAATCTGCGCGGGCTCTGGGCGTTCATTTGGCACTGGTGGCACACCATCGTCAATTGCTCTAGAGCCCCTATTTCCACATCGTTCCCTGAATGTTTGAGGAGATTGGTATAGTCTCGTCGCCGACGGATGGCCGAATCGTCGATGTAGTCGCTTGAGTTCACTTTCCGTCAAGTAATTGATGGACTTGACGTCTGGTTCAAGCTTCATAAACGCGTGCCCCCATCGTCGATCGACGAGCTCAGAGTGCTTTCCATTGGACATTCTATTCCTTGTGTTGTCAAACACAATGCCCAATTTATCCATGTCGTTCAGGCATAGGAGGAATGGTGTATTGACGGGTAGAATGTGGAAAATCATCGTTCCGAATCGTGTATTTACATCCACAGTACCTAAGGCACTTATCTCTTCCCCTGGGCCGAAACTGATCCTCGCAATGCCCGCGTTTGTAGTGTTGAGGGTCACTGGTGAGATCTTTTGGAGTGCGTGGAATTGTCCCTTGCCCCCCGTCGACCATTGTGATGCCCCGGTATCTGGAATAATCCCGTGGAAGGTTTCCGAGCCATACCTTTCGCTGGCATGGAATGCTTGCACTGGATTACCGTAGAACCCTCCTGGTGGGTATAAATTGCGTGCTTGTAAGCCCATCGTTCTCTTTTCCTCCCCAGGCCCTTTGACCTTAGTGCGAGCCATGGCTGCGGTATTAGCATTCGTGTCCCCCGTGCTGCTGAGCGTTGTCGTTGGCTGAGGGACCTTCCCTTGCCAACCATGGAGGAAAGCCTGCTCATTTAGGGCTTGTACCGCTCTCTGTTCGTTCAGCATTGTATATCCTCCTGAGGTTGACGGGGCGAAGAAAGAATGGGTGACATCGTTAACTTCGTCGAAGTCGAGGTCTTGAGTGTACGGGGTAAGATCTTCCTCGCTCTCAGACGACTCGATTGCGTTCGTTGGATGGTCCTCGTAGACCACCAGGAATTGGTTGAATCGATCATGGCCCGTCTTGCCTTGTGTGCCCTTTGCCTTTCTGTATTGGTCGTACGACTTGGCGCGTTCCTCATCAGAGTGGTTGCTTGACCAACAACCCTCCTTTTTGCATATAAAGCACTTCCCTTTCCGCGGTGCTCGGTTGGTGTTGGACCAGCGCCCCCCTGAGGAGTCTGTTCCTCCCCCCTGGCGGTTGCCATACCTTGCCTCTCTTCCTTTGCCATTGTACGTGCGGTCCACCCAGTGCTGTTGGTGAGGGCCTTCGTGAGATTGGAGGTGAGTCTGATTTGGCATCCTGGCTTCGATGTTGAAGCTGGACCTCAGCCTCGAGCACAGCGTCTCGTAGTCCTCAGGCGGTTGATGTAGAGTCATCTTTGCCTCTGGTACCCTCTGTACCGCCGTACATAGATAACCGACCTTTCGCTCATTGGTCCCCTCATTTGGCTGCGTCCTCGCCAGTTTGTCGATCCTGTCGATGAGCTCCTCGAGGATCTCAATTCTCGACTTTCCTTCCATTGTTCTGGCTACAGAGCTAAATGACAATGCCCTCAGCTCCGAGAGGAGCTCGAGGCTCCTATCTTGGGTCTCGAATCGACTTCGGATTGTGTCAACGATGCTGAGAAAGTCGGTTCGATCGATATTACGCACCGCTTGATAGTAGTACTCGGCAGCTTTCCCTGTCAGTATGACATTGACTACCGAATGATATTGGTGTTCTCGGATGCCGACTTTTTCGCAGTAGTCGTAGAACATCGTGAGGGTTTCTTGCAGGACCTCATATCTCCCCCCTGAGTACAATTTCTCTTTTGGAAAGATCTTCTTTAGGTCAGTGAACTGTCTTGTGCTGGCTACCGCTGGATCGTTCTCTTCGCGTGCTTCTCGTGCGGCAGCGTAATTGGGTGGTGTCTGCATTGTCGACCTCGTACTTTGTTGGGTGCTTGGGATCAATCCTCGGATTGGTATTGTCGTTGGGGTCGTCACCGCGATGGGCGGAATCGTCGTCTGACGCGCCTCCGGTGTGATCCCCCTTGTCTGCGCTAGATTGGGCGCCGCGATGTTACCGTTGGTGATCTTCAGCAGAAAGTCCGGTTGGTTCACTCGTCTGCTGAATTCTTCGTACTTTGACACTGCTCTGTCGATCTGATTCTGGTCCCATGGCGTGAAGTCCTCTGCGGCTACTGTCGCTGCGAGTGTCTCGTGGGCCTTTCGCCTTGCCCCTTGGGCTGGCAGAACGCCTCGGCAGTGGAGGAATCTGTTCACCTCCTTGACGACACCGGGATTAGCGCTGGCGAACCATTCATCTTTCCAGTCGCCTAGGTCGTCTACGACTCTGTAGAACAGGGGTTGCCCTTCGAGCCCCTTGCGGGCGTACATCTCCATAATGAAGACTAACGCCGCATCAATTTGCTCGCCATTGGGGTGGTCTGAGTCTCGATATGACCATTTCCCCCAGTACTCCGGATTAATCTCAACCCAATCTTCTGGGATGGGAGTCCTTCCGCGCGTTCTGCGTGCTGACTCGCCCCCTGTCGTCCCTTGGCTTGTGCTTCTGTTTGTAGGGGCCGGCGTGTTTGATCTTGATGGGGATGTGTCAGATCCGCTTGTTGGTCGTGGTAGCAGCGCACTGTCGTCGCTCGCCGTGTTTGTCGGGGTCTGGGAGCTTCCCGCGGCCTCCAACCTCCTTGCGGCGAGCCTCGTCACCATCTGCTCTTGGTCTTCTGAATTGGCCGCCATGTTTCTTGTTGACGGTTTTCTCTTCCTGTGGCGTACCCTATCGTATAAGAGAGGTCTTCCGGTGGCCCTCTCTTCGTGTTCTCTCCTCAGACGTCTTCTTGGCTTTCTCCCGTGCCAACTGGGGCAACAGGCTCTTTCTTTGCCTTCGTAGCTCGGCGAGGATGTGTAGTCTGAAGAATTGGGTACCTCACACCCCTTTACGGGGTGAGCGTTGTGATGCTTCTGAATCCCTTCCTTCCTCGTCTCAACTCCGCCTGGCTCTTATTCCTTCGGAACAGCCGAGGGGTGGTGGGTGTAGGTGAGAAGGGGAAGCTTGACCTTGGAATCTCGAAGTCGGTCTTGATGATGGCGATATCGCCGTCGATCCCGGTAGCCTCCTCGGATTCGACCAAGAAATACGCCTGGAGCTACCGGCGGGGTCTGGTTCCTACCTGAACACCCTATTGCCTTGAAAGTTTGTTTCTGTGGTCCTGAGGTGCCTTTTTATATCCTCCAATTGGGCCTGTTTCGTCGTACGGTCGAGATCTGCGGTGGATTTGCCAATCTGGCGAATCTGGTGATTTCGCTTGTTTTCCTCTGTTGGCGTACGGGCCGCCCGTGGATTGTTGAGTAGGACAAATCGCGTGAGGGCGACGTAGGTAGCTTGGTCGCCTTCTCGCGATTCCTTCAATTGCGGTTTGTTTTTGACGTGATGGACGTCGACCTTTCGTGGGCAGTCAAGGGCTGCGATTCCTCTACTTCGTTCCGTCGTAGAGATTCGCGTCTTGTCGCCTGCTTTCCGTCGGGTAGGTAGCACGATTCTCCTGTCGCGTTCCGTTCGAGGAGGTCGTCTCTTCTGCTTGCGAGATGCCTTGCTGATCTGCGATAGTGGGATTTAACCACTGATCAGTGTTGGTATTCCTATCACAGGGATGGTTCGAACCGTGGGTGACGAAGAGGTCAAAATCTATATATATTTAACTTCTGCGTAAGGTGTAAAAAGGAGGTTCTAACCGGAGGTTGGGTAGACCGTAGATCTCGTAAGTATGGTCTGTAAGTGGCCCCTGCGCGGGCCCCTTGCCTCGAGGTCGAATTGGACTTCCAATCCGACAACGGCACTGAAGTTGTACGATGCAGGCAGCGTCTCCGTTGATCAGCTTGGATGGGATCAGGATGGCGATCGTAGCGACCATGCGCATCATCGGCCTGATGCGTCGCGAGACGCAAGTGTCGGAACAGCTCAGTCTGCCGACCGAATGATAGCGTCGCCAACTGCCCCTGAGAATCGCGGAACCTCTGAGGCTATCATGGAAACGATTTTGGTCTCTTCACAATCTCATTCTCATGGCTCGTCAGGTCAATTCAGCAGATCAAAGCGGCGGCAGAGCGAAAGCTCGGAACCTATTCGCCCAGTACCCAAGCGACAGATGAATCCCAATGACGCCGACGAGGTGCAGCATACAGTCAACTTGAGTTCTCTAGAAGCTCTCCGCTCGGGAAGTGCTCTATCTTCCAATACTGTCTTCGCCGCTCTTCACATTATTGAATGTGCCCACGGAGAGAGGGTACAAATTGTCGACCCCGCCACTGCGCAAGCTTTTAGCAGGCCCGTCGGGCCTTCAGTCCGGCTTATGATACCTTTACTTCGCGAGAATCATTGGGCACTAGGTGTCAAAGAGGCTGGACAGAATGTTCTTCGAGTGTACGATCCGCAGCCTTCATCAGCCAATCGTCACGCTGTCAAGGAGATAGTGGCCGGAATGTCGATGCCGTTTGCATTGCCTGATATAAAATTTACGGCACCACTGCTGCAAGATAAGGAAGAGGACTCTGGACTTCTTCTTGTCATCGCGGCATTGTTTATCTCCTTGGATTTGCCAGTCCCACAAGATGCGGATACAACTTTTTGGCGCGAAGCTCTTCACATTTTTCTGATGCCGATGTCGATTGACGAGACCGACTTTATTCATAAGAGAATGGTTGAAGAGCCGCCGCCTTTGCAACGCAAAATTGAGAGAATGACAATACCAGGCGGAAAGATTTGTCTTGGCCACATACCTACATCTCTTACCCCACTAGAGCTTTTGGGCCTGCTTGAGAAACTGCACATTGAGGTGTCGGCCATGCAGAACAGAGTTGAACTCAACACAGCATGCGCTTCCTCTGCCCTACAAATTGCAACGGCTCACAAGACTTCTGCAAAGGAGAGATGTTCACGAGACATCAGAATGATTGGAGAAGACGTCATCGGTTCATTGGTGCGATTCAATAGGCTCGAAAAAGCGTGTCAAGGCGTTAGTGAAGATACACTTGCCATGCGGCTGACTCTGTCGCGTATTTTAGATTCCCTGACGATAGGCGAGAATACTTCATAAGGGATCCAGATGTCAGATAATTATTAATCAAAGCATTATAGTGAATTTCGATGACCACTTTCTCGGTTGCGATGCTGGCAGGATGAATGCGCCGCCAATTTGGATAAGAGAATAATGCCTCCAAAGGTGATTGGACCCGCCCGACACATGCCTTACGGGGAAAGAGCCACGAGACGACCATTCTGGCAGTAATGCACAAACTGGGCTTCGTCAGGCTGATGCTCGCACTTTCGTTGTTTGACATTGACTCTGCTTGCCTGAAGAACCTCAATTTGCGTCACCCTCCATATTTACCTCCTACATTTGCACCATTAAGAGAAGTTCACCCTCACGAAGGAGCCGGAATTCCATTGAATTCTCCTCCTCGATTCTGGTCTTCAGCCCTGTGCCAGATTCATCGATCGTGTCTTGGGTGGATGGCGTCTTGGTTGTTGCAGACCCGTAAAGACCTTTGAGCTCGGCACACGGCGAAATGCCTCGGTGCATAGACTTTCGATGGGGAGAATGACTCGTAGCTTTGGGTCTGTCAACTACAATGGTTCGTTAGATGGATCACATAGAAGAAGTTCTGAGTGTCTCACCCCAGCTACCATTGCATTCCTGGGTAGCTTGGACGATCGTAGTACTCAACAACGTCAGAGTCATGACGGGTCGGCTGGAAGCAAGGTGCATATGTGATGGGTGAGGTCAGCCGCCGAGGAGATTGAGGGCCTTTTGACGACGTTTTTCGCTTCGGATTCCGCTGGAGATCTCTTCGTTTTGACGAAACTAGTACTCTAGGAATTCAAGTTGCGTATCTTCGGAACCAAACACAATTTACAAGACAACACTATATATAGGCATTCATATCTGCCACCAATAGAGAGGCCAGCTTGGAGGCCATTATTGTGACCAGCAAAGAAGCCAGCATTGGGATCGACTGAGCCAACAGGGGGTATGATGCAGGTGACCAACATGGTAGCCAGCAAAACATGAGAAAGGTTGACACGAGATTCTCCTCAAAGAATGGCAACAAGATGAGCCTAGCTAGCGCAAGTGTATTTTTAGCAACTGCTTCTCTTGAGGCCTCCAGCAATTTCATCAAGTAACTCTCAAGATGGAATCGACCTACGGAGACCTGCTTGGCTAGGATCACACGAAGGGATCCAAGCAGGGCCAACAATGAGCACGATGCCGACGTGCCAACTGATTGGTGATGCTGAGGGGAAAAGGCGCCAATGCGGTGTGACGGCCTAATATGCAGCCATTCGCACAACGGATTCTCATCTTTCCGGTTCACATTGGCTTTCGGCTAGCTGTTGACCAACAGGAATGGCCAACATGGCGCGGCCAACATGGCGCGGCCAACATGCAGACCATACGTGCTGCCAACAAGAATGGCCAACCACTCACAAAGCGCTGATCGTTGCGAGTTGATCACATGGAGCTCTTTCGGCTACATCTCGCAAAGGCCAGGGTTTCGTGTTTGAGACGGAAAGGGAGGGAGCGGCGCATAAATACCAGTCACTGAGCTTTCGTTTTCTCAAAGCCTTCTGATCTTACGTTCAACGCAATTCGTTCTTTTCTCAAACCACAGCCCCATCCTACTTTACCTTTTGATCACTATCTCCCCAGCGTTGACAGGTCACCACCCAACATGGTCGGTGTCACACACGAATTCAGTCCTAGCATCAGCGAAGAGAAATTCGCTTGGACTTATGACATGGACCAATGCTCAACGACATCGTCGCCTATTCCGACACAGGGGACTCAGGGATTTCGACCAATCAATGTCACAAAGCCTTTCTACGCCAGGGAGCTCAGCAAACCCAGCTCTCCTTTCATCGTCGATCTCACGAACGATGCCACAGATGATTCCGACGACGATGGTAACAAAAATGGCCACGATAACGACGTTGAAGAAGGCTCCCAAGCCGGCGCGCCGTCCGTAACAGGCAATACTCTCAGTGAAGTTCACTTCACGAAGGACAGTAGCCCGACGAGACAACATGTAGATTACCTACTGGTCACCAACACGTCTATACTTGACGACAAACAGTCCGGAGCTTACGTCGAAGATATTGGGGAGCTCCGCAGAATGATTGATAGCATGCACGAGAGGCTCCTGTCCCTAGAGCGGCGTGAACGCGGAGCTCCTTCTAAGAACTCAAATCAGCTTCCACAACCAAGACCAAAGCGCATCAAACGGGCAGGACGCAGAAGACCGAGACCATATTCAATCTCAGACCTAGATATCCAGGATATCGAGCTCAGCATCCAAGCAGAACGAATCATCATCTCACGATGCTGCGAGATAGTGGAATACACCTGGGAACACCCTCGACGCAGGGGGGAGAAGTCGAGCAAACGGCAGTGGAAAGCGGTTCTCCCGGAGGGCAGAGAAATGGTCCACGGGAGGACTCTTCTGGCACGTACGGGTGTGGTTATCTGCGTTCGCGTGAAGCAAGAATGGCCTCCAATTCGACTGAGTTGGAACAAGAAAGCAGAACTCTATGAAGGCGAAGTGACCGAAGGTAAACGACTGTGCGTCCAGATGAATGTTATGTTAGCGCTAGTGGGCGATGTTGATGGCGCACATATGGGTTTCTTAGTAGATGAGACATACTAGGAAATTTGAGAATGAGTTTCCTCTCGAGAAGCACACGTGCAATTTCTTTCCCGCTCAGTGTGTAGAACTCGCGATGTTTTGATGCTCACCAAGTGGCAAAATTTGGTGGAGGACACCAAGCAGTCAATCAACGGCAGGTCTGAGGAGATCGTAAGCTGTTGGCCGGCTGTAGACTTATGACTCCGACTTGCCCCTATGTATGGCTTTGCTTCCGCCCAGTCCGATGGCCATATCCGGACAGGCCCCTGGAAGGAGTCATGGCACGAATGCTTGCAGTTGCTGAGGTGCCATTGGTCAAAAAGGTTTGAACCGGCGGTAAGCTGAAGGCGAACCACTTTTGAATATTGGCTGCCTTGTTTACCAACAAAAGCAAAGACAGGTTTACTATAAGACCCTCCACTACCTCTCATTTCAGTCGACTCGCCTTGTTCTCATCCATACCAGCAATTTCCGCCCATCGAGGCACTATAGACAACATGTGCGTCACGATCGATCAACATTCGGTTCGCACCTCCGCGACTTCACTGGGTAACAACGACCAGCCAACACAGCAAAGCAAACAATTCCAGCCAGGCGATAACATCATTCTGGACCGATTCATCGTCCAAGATTCTCTTCATAATTGGGAGCAGGTCGAAAATCGCTTTTCCAGTTCCGGCGAGCTTGTCGAAAGATCCGTGCGCTTCCTAGACAAGAAGAGAGAGGCAGGAGACATCTACGAGTCTATTGCCGAGCTCGAGAACATTTGCCTAAAATTGTATCTCTGCAAACCTGATAAGGTCAAAGCCAAACAATGGGTTGGCCTGTTGAACTTGACGAATATTCTTGTTACGATGTATCACACATTCTTCCGAGTGACTCAACACCACTCTGGAGATCCCAGCCTCCGAGCAACCGCCTCCAAGGTGGCATTGCCAGCTCGTCTTCTTCGCATCACTACAGACCTCCTGAAACTTTTGCAGAGAGGCCTACCGGCTACGCGCCAACACATGCTTCGGTTCGTTTGTCAGAACTATCAGGATACTGCCTATCTCAATGAGATTTTGCCCGCCTTCAGCGACGTTTGGACCGAATGCTTAGCTCGAATTGCTCTTGGGGGGTAAGTCACTCGAACTCTTTTCTAGACCTCGCTGACAAGGTTCTATCCAGATTCAACGCTGCCTTGGAGGCCGAGGCAAAAGCAGCTTGGCTGTCGACCAGTCAATGGTGGTACTGCGAAGCCACCAATATAACGCCAGCGAGCGGTCGACTCAGCTGCGAATATGCGAACCTACTTGTTGGCGATGTCAAAATCATGATGGCTTACATCAGGTCTCTCTGTTCATCAACCCCACACTACGATGGCCGGGAACATATCAAGGAATTTTTCAAGTCACGTCTGGAGACGCCGAGCGATCCGCTCAGAACCGAGCAAAACTTTGTTAGGACCCAAGGCGCTCTCTTCCTTCGCAAGAGCAAGTACAACTGGGAGTTTCATAGCACATCGATCAGTGGACTTTTCCGCTCGGTTGCAGGCTATGACGTCGGCATTTGCCACGCTTGCTCGCTCCTCGAGTTCGGCCACGCTTCTAACATCCTGGTGAGAATCACAGGTTCATTAGTCGGGGAAAAACACGGCGAGAAAGGTGTGACGAATGCCCCGAACGAATATTTCCTTCGAGCATTGAGTTTGGTTGCCGATGGTATCTGTGTTGCATGCAATCTAGGTCATAACGAGGCCGGCACAGGTTATCTCCATGCCATTCTATCATTCCTTGCCTACATGTCGAAACACCCTCACGCCATGGAGCACTTCGGGAAAAGGCTTCCTTGGAAGAAGATTTCGATCTGGCTGAACGGGCTCGTTGCTGAAGTCCCTTCTTTCAAAGCCGTTACATCGCACGGATTTCCGGACCATCCGACGCAGCGTCCACTGCCTGATGACCTCGCTTTACGTGGTTTGGTGTGGATTGATCGTCTGTACGAATATCCAGATGGGTGGTTTCCTTCTCGTCGTCAGGCCTTAGGCGACATTGAATTCCACGAAACGGACCAAACCAAGAAGCAACGATGGCATAGGTGTCTCTGGCTTGGCGACCTAGTGGCATCCTCGGGACAATGGCTCACTCTACATGGAGAGGTTTTTGGCACGTTATCCGACGCGACGTCAGCGACGTAGACGTTTCGCATTGAATTATCACGTTGAGAAGAACCCTGAAGCCTTGAGTGTGCCGCAACTACTAGCCAAGTTTACGAATGAGATATTGTTACGTTCTAAAGCCATGCAAATCGATAAGAGGCTGGCATGTTTCTGCTTGTCCACCTGCGCTAGCCACAATCACTCGCGGCGTAAAATTTGAAAGCGGACTTTTCGGTCAAAGAAGGCTCTGAATATGAACTACTCGCTGGAATTGCCTTCCTAGCTTGTTTGCTAGTTGTGCCTATGCTGATGTTCACAGTCGAAACGTTACAACACGCTTGAGATATCTTGATACAGTGCACCAGGAATGCGTTTTGTATGGCCGTATTGATAGGGGAACGATCATGCCTATCGATGACCGCCCTTTGGTCGTCTCACTACTCCGCCGCTCCGATGACTACAACTGGCGAGGTGACAACGTACTCCATGGCTCTACCCCTGCTACCTAGGCGAACCATTCACCCGCATAGAGTGTTACCTAAGTAATATTAGTCGCCTGACGGTCAGGGGAAGGAGCGCTCTACAATTGAAACCTTTCCCCTTATTATTGTTTCCATCTTTGCCTACCTTGCCTTACCAGATAGATGACTTGCACCGTCAGATATTTGTGTTTTCATCCCCAACACAAGCATGAACGGCAAAGTAGCAGAGAATGCCCAACTCAAAAGAAACTCCATACTCTCGCCACAAGACCATTGTCAAACGAACCAAAAGAACGAAGATGGTTTCGAGAGGCCTTTGACGATACTGGAAAGCTTTCTGTTCGAGGACGACCTTTCGCAAAAGTCTTGGGACGACATGCCTGAGCGAATCAGTGAATCCGGCCACCTTCTCGACAGACAAGTGCGTTTTGATGAAAAGGTCTTCGAGGCGCTGGACACCTATGGAGACCTCGTCAAACTCGAATACACCTGTGCGAACATCGATTGCCAAGATCTCTCGAGCTTTGCGTGTAAGGACTGGTGGCGTCTAACGCGACTACACAATACGCTTCGTCACCAACATCACAGGTTGCTTCAAATTACCCAGCATCATTCAACAGATCCTATGCTCATCAGACTGCCTGCCAAATGCGCCTTACCTATTCGACTTGTGAGCCGCATCGTCATATTCCTTCATCTATTAGAAAGGGGGCTGCCAAGCTCGCGTGAGCACATGGATGGGTTTATTCATCAGGCCTACCAAGACATGACAGTACTTTATGAAGCAAACCCCTACTTTGGCTATACTTGGGCCGGGTGTCTAAGCCACCTTTCAGTTTTTCGGTATGTTCGAAGTCTTGCTACCTTCACAGCTCCAGACCTACCTTGTACTGACATTGTTTCTCCAGTTCCCGTATAGCGAACGACATCGAAGATCAACAACTATGGCTGTCGCTTGGTCAGCTTTGGCACCAAAAAGGCATAGAGAGCTGGGCCAGCGCATGGAACTCAAAGACTATGCGGGACCCAATCAGTGGCTGATGTGCTGGGAAGATGGATAATCAAAGGTGCACGAGGCGTTGAAGAATAAACGAGGGAGATCGGGGTGTTTATTCGCTTTCGTAGTTAAATATATTGTCCATGTACGAACCACGACGGTCGCTCAACATGCTCAACAGGGCATTGTTGTTCGTGTGAAGCTTCATGTTCTTAGTTCCACCTTCGAAAAACTTGCAGTTGTGATCTGAGGCGGATGCTCACGAATGAAATCCTCTCTCCCGCGCTTGAAAAGCCTCCACTTGGACCGTAACTTCATTGGATTCGTTTTAAGTCTTCGGTAGCTGCGGAGTATCGTGTTGAGTAATTCAAGGCTCCAGCACTCAGGTCGCTCCTTGGCTTGCTTGAGGTCCGCTATCTTCAACGGGAACTAACTGTGCAGCAGCCCAGATACAGGGCTATCCGCTTCGCCAATCGATCAAACCGCCCTTCAAGCTATTGCTCGAGATGCATAAAACATGTATGAACACTAAGGAAGTCTACAACGCGCCAGCTACCTTATCGCGGTCGCTTGTGGGATTCAAAGCCCGAGATCTTGTTTTGTTGATTGCGCCTCTGTCCCGGATACTGGTCGTAAGAGTATGATGGGTTGCCGCTTATGAACAGCGTCATGGTGCAAGCGGCCCGACGTAGCAGGGAGGAGAGACTTCAGGCTTCCCCGACGACCTTGCGTTTGTTTAGTGCTGGACATGACTCTTCGGTGAACCTTCCGGCGTCAGTGCTGGTCGTGTCAGGGAGAGTGGGGACCTCCATCGATGAAATGTTGATTGCTCTACATCATCAGCTCTTGGAGCTAAATGGATACCAGAAAGCCCACCATCTCTGCAGGCCGGAACCCTCCGGATCAAAGTAGAGCGTGTTGATCGCTGACCTGGCTTCCGATGTGATTGTTCAGAGGGCTCTGGTTTGTGAACTAATACCATCGATCTTGTATCTTCGCAGCCAGAGCAGATAAGTTGTCCGGTCTGCATGGAACAAGGCTTGTTGACCAAGAAGTTGGTCAGCTCTTGCCTGCATTGTTCGCTTATCCAACGATAAGGTGCCTCGGATAGTTGACCGGTCCTTGGGCCTGGCTGGCCTTGCCTTGCGTGTTTGTCTTGTCTAGTCTGCCACCTTCTTGCTGACGTGGCCGTCTTGGCCACCTTGTTGGTCACATGCACCCCTTACCTCCACTGTTGGAACGGACGTAACACAATCAAACGAGTGCTGTTGGCCATTTTGTTGGTCACTGAGTAGGCCGCCGGGTAAGCCGCCTTGGCTGCATATCTGCCCACTTACTTGCCCTCTCGTTGGTTGTCACAAAGGTCTCTGTTTGGGCCGTCACAATCCACTTCTAGATGGTCTTCGTGTTGATCATTCTGCCAACTGAATTATTGACAAATTTGGTGTGCTCGTTTTGCAGGCTAAGAGTAAGTCGCCCTGTTGACTAGCTCATTGGCCTTTTGGTAACCTTGGCCGTGGCATAGCTCCATGTTGGTCATCCCATCTGCTGGCCCACCGACGATCCCTATCCAAGGTTTTCACAGATGTCATTATCAGCACATTGCTGAGAAGCTCCAGAGGGTTGATGTCAACGGAGAACGGTCGTATTAGGGCAGATCATGGGCATGCGCCCGTAAAGAGAGCAGAAGAGGGATGCCTTCTGACGGGTGGCAAGCTCTGGCAAATTACTGCTAAGAGGCTGCTGAATTCCAGCAAGTTACTGTTCGGTGCAGTTGGGAGCTCAACGCTCTACAGGCTTACCGGTCACCTCGCTGGAGCCTGCCCCCCGTTACTGCTAGAAGGTCACCAAGGGGTCACCTGGTCTGAGTGCAGGCACTCCCTAGCCCACTGGTCCCCCAGCCGTCGCGATCTGGCAGGGCAATTGTCCACCGCCCCCACCGCCTACCATAGGACTGCGTGGGCTCACTTTCAAGGGTAGCTTAGCAGTCCACTCCGCCCGTGGTCTGCTGGCGGGGAGGCGCTGAGACATCACGAAAGTTTAGGCTTACAGATCCGCATAAGCCTGATCCGTTCGCGAAAACAAGTATGACGCATCTTCTCGGAGTGACAAGTACACAGTGGTTTTATTTCTCTACGGGCCTGGTGTAGCTAAGCTTCCAGTACAGTTCCGCCTAATGCTCGTCCTTACATCTCTCTTGGTTCTTTGAATCAGGCTTGCTAGGTGTACACAAGACAGGTAAAGGGTATTGTTGGCGCTTCAGTACGTTAGTGCATTCAGCAGGGCAAGGACTAGAGGGGGATCTCACTAGTGACGCTTGACTACGGGGCAAGGTATCGTCGGAGGGATGGCTAGTGTAGATCCAGATACGGCCCTTCCGCTCGATAAAGGTATAAACCTTTGCATCGCAGTCTTGGAAAATACGGTCTGCTTTCCGGAACAAAGCCTTTTTACGATGTGAGAACAATGTTCCTCTTCTTTTGCTATCCTTTCGTAGTCGTTCCACTTCCGGGACAAACGAGGTCACTACGGACTTTGGTGCACTTTGATCCATTTTGCTATCTCGTGGTCGTCGGTGTTCCTGATTGTCTGGAGCTTGTTCATCGAGAGGCTTCCTCCTCCTCGACATCTTAAAGTCAGCGTTCGGCGCCTCGAATAGAAAGGAGTTGCGCTGTTCCAATCCGAATTTCTGGAAACTGAAAACCATCACGTAGCGCTCCACGCCCAGAATACGCGCCAGGTGGCGCGTACGGGCGTCGGAGCTCAGGGTTACGCCTACTGGTAGATGGTCCGAAATCCGCCTACCCTGGCCAGTAGCAGACACCCACAGGCGGACGCATGTTCCTTCTACCGCTATGCTCTCGGCCCAATGCGCTTTCTAGTAGTAACTCCCCTTGATGCGGGCATTGTAAACGCCGCCGGGCATCGGAGCCTTCAGGATAGATTGAGTCCGAAAACTTAGCCACTCTTGCATGCATAGGGGGTTAGCAGTAATAGCGACATACTGAGTCTCAGTGCCTAGGAGCCCCCCTCCCTCCAAGAAGGGTCGCTTACATCTCACCCTCATTGGAGAGTTTGGAAGTAAATTTTTAAAAGTTAGAAGCACGTTGTGGGCGGGCTGGGTAGTGGTGGTGGCGTGCTTCACTTCGTGTGTCAGGGTGTTCGATTAGTGCTTACCGTCCAGCGACGGAACTGCTAAGGTTAAAACGGTTTTTGACCGTTTCAGAACGTATGATCCTTGTTCCGTATTCTGGGACACCCATCGTCACCCGGTAATGGTAACCTACGCCAACATCACGAAGACAAGCAGCTCATAGATAAGCCCTATGAGGGCCGGATTAGTAGTTGGGTCGGTGACGACCAGCGAATACCTGGTGTTGTATGTTTTTGGTTGTGGAGGAAATTTTGGTGTTTTGGTGGATTTATGTGGGTGCGGTGTGGGTTCTGTGTGTATAGAGTCGAGTTGACGTTGGTTGAAGCGTGGGGTACGCCGGAGGGTGAGGATCCTAAGTTGTTACTTCTGAAACCCTGATTGCCAAGGAATAGCAATACTGCGCTGCATCTTTATGAAGATCTTGTTTTTGAGCGGTGGGAGTGGCGACGTTTCTTTTGAGATGTGTAGGTTCGTGACAGCGGCAGTGGAGGAGCTTTATCCGCGGACACTAGGTAATAAGACACACACACCATCAAGCAGACCTTCGTTCATCACTGGGAATTCAATGAGGCTCTTCAGGGATCAGATTGAAGCGTTTTGAAATCTTGTAAGATTAACCTGCAAAGATGCAAACTTGCTCTCTCCACAGTTGGTAGATCATATTCAACATCTTCTGTGTGCCTATTTATCATCATACCTGCACCACAACTTTTCTTTCATATTAAAAATATCCCACCAAGGGTATCAAAATCGCTAAAAATCCCGTCCTTCATCCTTGGAAAATTTTCCATTCTCAATCACTAGAGGTGCTGGGACTCTTGGGCCCCTCGGCCTCCTCTTCGACAATGCCCCTGCCCTCACTGTTGGCAATGGCACTCTGCAACGCGCTCGTCAGATCGACGTGGAACAGCGGCCTGTTGAGACCGTGGACGACGACGCCCTTCCTCCTGGGGCCGTCGGTGCCGGCGCCACCGCCGCCGACCTTCCTCGAGCCAGACGACACGGGGTCAATCTGATCGTACGCGCCGCCGTCCTTGCCCGCCTCCTCGTCAATGGTCCTCGCGGCCCGCGCGTGCGTAGAGACATCCTTCTCGTTGGCCTCCTTCTCCGCCACCGCGGCCGCCGACTCGGACCCGCCAATCTCGGCGACGCTGAAGATGGACTTCCACTGGTGCTGCGTGCCGTCGCTGCGGTCGACGGGGTAACCGAAGCCCGCGGCCACGAGAGCCCTCTTGGTCCACCTGTTGTTGATGCACGCGATGTGCCAGTTCACCTTGTCGGGGGCGGCGTACCGGTCGAGCTGGTTGCGGACGTCAATGAGCTGTTGGATCGACGTCAGGTCGACGTTGTTGACGGAGCTGAAGTCGAGGATGATTGCCTTGAGCGTCGGTCTGTTCTCCTCCTCGTGCATCTGGGCTTGCGCCTTCTTGGCCTTGCGGGACGGGCCCGGGTCGTTCCAGGGGCGGTCGCCCAGTCTTCCGTACGACTGCATGTTGGTCCGGCGCGTGCGAGCAAAGATGTAGTCGGTGAGGTACTCGAGAGAGTGGCTGGCGTTCGGGTAGTTGAAGCCCTCGGAGAAGCGGTAGATGAAGATACCGGGGTACGGCTCGTCCAGTGAGACCTCGGGGTTGGATCCGTCGCCGTGGTCGATGGGCAGGAACACGTTGCGCGCTGCGTTGTCGCTGGCATTGAAGGTGCCGTACTCGCCAATGACTTGTCGGTGGTCTTCGCCAATGACATGGTCGCCGACGACGGAGTGAATCTTGACCTTTCCGAGGAAGCGTCCCTGGCCCCGGAGAATGCGCCAGAGCAGCAACACAGCAGAGATACAGATCGTGGCGTAGATTCCGTTCTCGATGGAAGAGAAAATTGTGACGAAGACACCGACGAAGAAGATGACAACTTCGAGCGGAGAGACACGCCAAAATTGGTAGACGGTGTTGGGCGGCGTAATCAGATCGCCGACGGCGTGGATGATGACTGCAGCCAGTGACGCGCTGGAGATGTAGAAGAACACGGCCGTAAGAGCGTAGATGGCAAGCAAGACGATAAGACCAGTAATCACACCAGCGAAGGGGGTCCTAACACCGGCCTTGGACTTGATAGCGGTACGACTGAATGAGCCCGTGGATGGGTAGCCACCGAGGAAAGGCGCGATGACGTTCGTCACACCAATAGCCACGAACTCTTGGGAAGGATTGATGGTGTAGTTGTTCACACGTCCGAAGGACTTCGAAATGGCGACGTGCTCGATAACCAGTACAATAACGCTGGCAGGCAGGAAGGGCAAGAAAGCGCTGATGAGGTCGGTGTCCATCTTCGGGGCGCCAGTATTTTGGAAGCCTGTAGTTTTGGTTAGCTTTTGTGATACCAGCCAGGGGCAAGGTGCACTAACCTCTTGGAACTTCTCCCAAAATCTTGAACAGTGGGTTAGAACGTCTGTTCATGTTGACCAACCAACTGATCATGGTGTAGAGAAGAATGACGAAGACTGTTCTGAGAGTCGAGAGGAAGAAGAAGAGCTTCGACTTCTGGGGGTACTTCTTGGCCAATGTAGTGAAGATGAACCGCAGAAGGTAGAGCATGGTAAGGGCGGTCAGGCCCATGGCAGCATCCATCTTTGTCTTGGGGAGGGCCTTGAGGGTGTTGATAAAGACGAGATAAGTTGCCTCTCTTGTGTTGACACCCTTGATGCCCAACAAAGTGACCAACTGGCCAACAGCAATGCTGATGGCAGAGCCAGTCATGAAGGCCGACAGAGAAGTCAAGGAGATCAAGTTGACAATCCATCCCATGCGTATCAACCCGATAAAGAGAATGATGGCGCCAGCAATGACGGCTAGAGCGGACGCAATCTGGTGACCTTCGTATTGGGGGAAGTCTGCCTGGACATCGGTAATGAGGTTACCAACAACAGTGGACATAACAGCCACGGGCTTTGAGTCTGTTAGCAGATTGTCAAAGTGAACTAAGGGGGAGATTGTCACATACGCCGATGGTAATATCCTTGGAAGTAGCGAAGAACCAGTAGATAATGACACCCATGAAGGATGAGTAGAGACCGAATTGGGGATCAAGCTTTGCAAGCAAAGCGTAAGCCATACCCTGAGGTACCACAACAGCGCCAACGGTGACACCGGCAACCAAGTCACCGAGGAACCACTGCATGTTGTAGTGACCAATCCAGTTGAGGAAGGGGAAGAGGGAACGGATGTAGGCGAGGACTTCATTGCCATCGGGAAGAAGGTCAACGAGCCACTCAGCCGTTGTTGGCTCCTCCTCGACGAATGTGTCTGAAGACTGAACTGAGAAGACGGATTCACCACGTAACATCTCTTCGTTCTCGGGCTTCTCGAGCTTGATGCCCAAGACCTTGGCCAGGCCATGGCCAATCTTGGTGCTTGTGCTCGGCATGGTGGTTGTTCGGACCGGAATCTGTCTGAGAAAAGACTCTGAAGACTACTTGTCGAGCTCTTGGCTACAGAGACGAGTAGCACACAGGACCTCGCTCCCTTTTTGGCGAAGATGTCCCAAGGCTATATAGGAGTCACCGGGGGTGGTCACCGTGCCACACTCCTGGGTCCACGGGGGTCGCCGTGGGATATGGCGGTCGAGAGTGGGTGGCAGGAATGGGAACCGGGGTGTGTAGTGGGCAGAAGCTAATGGTGCAAGACGTGACTAGAACGCTTCCAGTCCTCGAAAGCTCGACGGGGGTGGCGATTTGAGGCAGGAGGTGCGAAATTGTCGCTACTCAACAGCCCTTGCAAAGTTGCGCAATCGGTCAAAGGGACATTAATTGGTCGAAACAACGAGGGCCGACTCAACGATGAGCGAGAGAGTTCCCGACACAGGAAAAAGGCCGTAATTTGGCGGCGTGCGAAAATGCCGACAGAAGCGCTTGTGGCTGGCCAGAAGGGATGAGAAGCAATAACCCTTCACAAAACAGTAGCGACAAGATATCTGTGTCGTGTGGCCTGAGTGGTCTAGAGCGACCTGGTCGGGTTATGCGACTGAAACAGAAGCTCTTCAATTCTTTCGGAAGCTCTTCGAAGCTCTTCAAAGACTTTCAGAAGCTCTTCAACATAGGCTGAGGAAGGCAGACAGACAAGCTTTTAATTGACTTCAGAAACTTCGGTAGTGGAGTGCCAAGGGAGGCTCTTAAGGTATTCCTGCTTGACAAGACGATGGATCTCGTGGGCCAAGAGATGTGGCACCGGGATGACGGCGGCAGCCAAGAAATGAGCGTTGCAGAAGAGCCGAGGAGAAGACGACGGCAAGAAAGAGGGAAAACTCTGACAGGGGGTGTCTGAATCCCTCTCAATGGCGCGGATTTAATATCAACAATGTTGGTGTCAGCAGAAGCTCTTTGTAGTGGTGGTAGTATCCGCACTCCTCCCGCGATGTCGAAACCGGGGCGATGTCGCCATCGAGTCTTTGCCGTTCAAAGCTTAGTGGAGACGGGCGATGGAGTCGGTACATGCTACGAGCCCAATTATCTTATACCCACAAGACAAGGGACCTGCGCTCTCGTGCTGATTTGATATCACATTGGTAATACCAGACGGGCTCGTTCGTACGATTTTCAATAACCGCCATTGGGCGAAGTACTCTTCATGCACAATACGGCGTATTCAGCTGTGATCAAGTGGAGGAACGGGCCATGCGAAAGATGCGGTCTCGGAGGGAATAGTTGCGTGGTTTCTCTCGCTCTCCCAACTTGGCTCACCACGCGGCCTGTTAGAGATACAGGAGCGTGAGGAGCACGAGGAGAAAGCTCGGGTTTCCTATGGCCAGACTGCAGAAATTGGAGAATGCCAATGCTCATGTGTCGTCAGTCATGGAGCCGGGCGAGGCGCTGCCTTGGTGGCAGACATGATAAAATGGAGACGATGAAAAATCAGAGCTGAGTGTCGGGCGAGCGACTTGGAGGAACAATGCCAAAGTGTTCCCAGTTGTGCAACACATGTTTCCACGGGGAGGAGACGAGTATCCAAAGAACTACCGCTTTTGGTAGGGTACCTAGTGGGCTGACCAATGGACTTCAGCTTCTGCAACTTGGCGATGGTGCAATAGTACCCTTGTTTGAGGTGATGAGAGAGTGGGGTAGATGGCTGCGGAGATGCTCAACCTGGTTGGACCCTTCTGAGACTTCTTCGCCTTGACTGGTTGCTTGTCTCGCAAAGTGTGGTGCGAAGCTTTTGAACGAGATGCGAAGCTGGGTTGGTCCTTGACTGATTGGGACCAGAATCTCAGATGGCCATAGTTGTCGGGACGTGTGATGCTGCGCTATTCCCTCGTGGTTATTGCACGTGCAAATCAGACGGTCGACAATGGCGGCAAACTGCGAGATGCTCGGGGAGTATAGAGTCTGGAGAGAAACAGGGGACGCTCGGCCCCAGGCGAAAGACGATAGATGGACGGAATGGGGTTCCGGGATAATCTGCTGCATTGTGCGGGCAGAATCCGTAGCCGCCATGCCTTCCGGATACTAGAGACTGTAGACTGAAGTTACTCATTGCTAACAGGATCCGTAAAGCGGATGTGGTTACGGATGGCCAACGTCATGGGTCAGCTTGGACCAACAGCTAAAGACGCACCCATGACGCCAAGCTTGCGACAACGAGATGCTGACATAAGGAGGTATGTTCAGCTCGGGCATTCCACGGCAGATCTAGGTTCAATGATTTTCCGCAACCGGCTCGGGACAGCTGCGCCGACGGGTCCGGAAGATTGTGGGTTTCTGTCGACCCAGACCTGCACGCTGTGGCTCGAAAAGGAAGTTCAAGATGAAGTCAGCTAAGGTAACCTTACGGAGCAGTCTTCCAGTTGCTTGCCCCGTTTTTTCAGGTACCAGCCTCAATGATCAATGCTCGCCTTCTTGACGATTGTTTCGCTCAAGTTTGGAGTCACTGCTACGAATTTGCCAATCTTCAGGAAGTGGATTGCATGCCACCTAAAGGTCTTAGACACTCAGCCGGCGAGGCTGGACTCAAGCTCCCAACATCAACAACAAATGGTGGCCGTGGCGAGCAATTTGGGAACATTGGAACTGACCATTCAGCGCTGGAACCGTTGAGCCGCTGGTCGCCAGTGAATTTGGTACGCGAAAAAACACGGGGCAATTGACAGACGCGAGTTCCCAACAGCCCCTCTCTCCCCGGGCAACAGGTCGATTTGCCTTAGTCAGAAAACAAACTCCAAGCCGCCAACACCTGCAATGCTTGTCATCTACACCACCGAGTCTGCAATCGCCAACCTCCTCCTCCCCGCCACGGGCCAAAAATAGCAGCCCACGAGGTGTTGGTCACCTCGCTACGCTTGTTATCTTGCCCCTATTTTCTCTTCTAGCGGTTCTTAACGCCGTGCCCTGCCATTCTTTTCAGAATATTCTTCCAATAATCCGTCGTATATTTCCATTGTCCCTCAAAATAGTGAATGTAGTCGGCCCCGTCCTTTAGTCGCAAAGATGCCGCCGAGTCCACCAAGAGATCCTCTCGCCCATCCGGCGCACAACTTCGTGCAGTCGCAGGCCAAAACAACCGAATTGCTCCCACCACCGTCGCCGCGCACCCATCGCCTTCGCAAACTACAATCCGCACATAATCTTGGCTCCAAGGCCGCCCTTCAGCTTCAACCCCTTCATCAACCTTCTTTGATCTCGCAGCAACGCTTGACGCAAATCACCCAGCGAAACATCTCTCCTACGCGACGCGACCCGAGCTCTTCTTCCAACGTGGCACGGCACACTCGAGGACGATCCAATAGCGATGCGCCGGCGCCTGTCATCCATCACATAAATGCACTGGCTACAGGCAAGCGCAGCATGATGGGCATCAGTCCCAAGTACGCGACCATGTCTCTACAACAACTTATCAAAGAGGGCCCCCCCGAAGGAGATAAAATTGAGGCTTTGGGCATGGCTCGTCGCAAAATCTTGAGCGAGGGTGTCAAGAGTGATAGCGACGGCATGGTAAACAACACCCTCCATATCCACCAAGCCTGCTGATCAAGAATTAACTTATTGCTACGCAGTCAACCTTGCGCATATATGTCTGGCTAATCCTGCTGGATACTCCCGTCCTTCCGACCGATGACTACCTGGGCCTGATTCACCGCGGAGCCTCCCCGGCCTACTCCAAAATTCGCAACGACACCTTCCGCACCCTTACGACTGATCCTCTGTTCAGGAGACGTGTGAGTGAGGCCAGCTTGATTCGCCTCCTCAACGCCGTGGCCTGGCGTCTACACGATGCGCGGGAGGAGCAGCGCAGGGAGCGACCGAGCACTGGAAGGAGCTCTATATCGCAGGACAGTTCGACTTCGACTTCGACTGCCACAGCTTACTCGCAAGACCCAGCCTTTTCGCCTGGCGCCAGAAACCGTGCCAGAGCACTCACATTGACAACAGAGGGCTCCGAATCCAGCCATGCTGCGGAGCCGGGAACATACGTACAAGGAATGAACGTACTGGCTGCCCCTTTTCTGTACGCAGCAAGGAGCGAATCCGAGGCCTTTATCGCGTTCTACACACTGCTCACACGCGAATGCCCCGGCTACATCCGCGGCGCTATGGACGGCGTACACAAGGGCCTGGCGCTGGTTGACAAGGTCCTTGCGACAGTCGACTCGAAGCTAAGCGGCTACCTGCACTCCAAAGGCCTCACGGCCGAGATCTACGCCTTTCCCTCGGTTTTGACATTGTGCGCCTGCACGCCGCCACTTCCCGAGGTCCTCAGACTGTGGGACTTTCTTTTTGCCTACGGACCCCATCTGAACATTCTCTGTATTGTAGCCCAATTGATGGGCATGCGGGATCAGCTTATGAGCTCTCCAAGGTACGTTATCCCGTTATCCGGTCTCCAAGAATTAAGCTGTGCGAGCTAACGATCAACCAGCCCCAACAAGCTGCTCCGTTCGTTCCCTTCGCTGCAAGCGGATAAGGTCATTGAGCGGACGCTGTGGATCGTAGAAAGAATCCCAGACGACACATACGTGGCCATAGTTGCGCACGCCCACTGAGCCTTTGCATCTGCGGAATGGATCTGCGTGGAAAATCACGAATAACGGTAGACAAGAATACCATCTCACGGGGTGGTTGGCGAGGATTCGACGGAGGGGGCAATGTCTGATGAATGTTTGAACGTTGAACGACGTGTACTTGTACGATGAGAGGACTCTTACGACTTGACGATTGAAACCGAAAAAATGGGAAACGAGATGGGAATTTCATGAAAGAGCGCCATAGGTGGTGGGTAAATGGGAATCAATGGCATAGCTCCATGAGACACGTGGTAAAGAAACAGAACGCTCGCATCGGGTGGAAAACTTAATTAATGCTTATTGTTACGGTCGATATCATGTCTCATCTACTTTACTGTGAAGAAAATGAGTCCTCGACCCATCTTATCATCACGAGGTCTTCTGAATCATAGAGCTCGTCTATCTTGGGGCCGAGAATGCAGGCCATAAGGTCGACTCCTTACTACAAAGCAGCGGATAGTTCAGTGGAGGTACAGAAGATCGAGTACGTCTCTGCTTTACTTTGACACCTTCCGCAACAATCTACACCTGAGCCAGTTGCTTGCAACAAGGTCCTATGAACAGAGCGATATGACGAAGATGCGGGCTAAGAAAACCCAAGCAAGAACGTGGGGTGGAATAAACTGCACTGACCAAGGTACGCGGAAAGAAACAGCGACGCGACATGCACCGGCGTTTGACTAGAGGAACCTCGTTGGAATGTGAAGCTTTCATTCGGCAATGCAGAGAAAAGCTATTGGGCGAGTTCTATGGCGACATCAACTATACCTTATAGCTATCTGGGTTGAAGATACTACCACAGGAACGTCCACCGTGTCTATAACAACCTGCGTCTCTATGTATCCGGGTGAAGCTGTGGCGGGACCTTTGTATGCATAGGCCTTCTTTCTTTCCCCCATCAGCCGAGTTAATTCAAACTCAAGTGAATTTGACATCGGCATCGTGGCTCCTATAGACGGCACGATAATGGATGTAGGATTCGCTTACCTTTGTCGTAACTTACCGATTACTGAGAACACTTGAATTCGATCCATCACAACGAGCCCATCATGGCAAAGTATCCAATGGGACGCATGCTGTGTTTCTAGCTGCCTTCACTATCCCTCATTGAACCAGACTCCCTCATGGGCACCACATAGACATAGAAACTTGAGAATTTCTTAATTTCATAGTCAACTTGAAGTTTTTAAAGTGGCTTCAGGCAACACTTCAAGACCTCACTTATCGTGGCAGTTCGTCAAAGGAGTATACAGGTAGTGCTCCTCATAAATGCTAGGGAACTTGTACGACTTCTCAATGGCTTCATATTGCCCAGTAGAGGTATTAGAATGCTGTGAATTTCTCCGGTAATCGGTCACAATACATCAACATTTGAGTTGCTACGCACATTTAAGCCATCGATGTATTCGTCTTGAATGTCCTATTCAGAGCACAGAACAGTTCTTATACACCACCGCCATAAGGGAACTGCTTCCGACATACCCATTCAAACCCACGGCCATGAAAGACGTAACCATTCTCTGGTCATCACTTCTAGGCTCTTTTCAAACTAATCACCACGCAACACTCTATTGACCAAAAGCTCCCATCACTGCTAGTGCGAGATGTTTTTGGGTTGATAACTTTATAAACGTTGACCTACGTACAGCTTGAGGTTAGCCAACCGACGGCTTCACAGTAACTTAAGCTACTGTTCTGGGCTCACCGTTAAGAAAAGCCAGTCATTGTCAAGTCTTTACTAAAGCTGGACTCTATTGTACTCCGAGGCAAATTTGGCCTAAAGGTAATTCCCAAATTATGCGCAACGTCGTATTCAGCACGGAACAAGTTACTATCTCGTCCCGAAACACTGACATTGACTTGAGCCCTCATTTATGCGTACCGACTTCCATGTTAGTACTTTCAGCCACTGGTATCAACTTGGAGTGTATACGCAGCTCAATTTACTCGAACGATCGTCCAGTCGAAGTTAAATGTACTTGAACAGTTAATTCGGCTAGTAAACCCGGGCGTTTATGCTATGCAAGGGGGCCACGTATCCAAAGATCCGTTCGACCTGCTTTCCGGCGAACCGTACATGGCATTCACCAGTTCCCCCAGCTGCTACATTCGGAGCTCTGAGTTTGCCGAGAAGTCACTTGAAGGACAGGTCCCTGGAACCTCTCGGAGCTTGAGATGCACATAGGACTAATATAGACACATGAAGAGGGATATGAAGCGCCCATTTGGTAAGTCTGGGTATACCTTACAAGACAATGCCCTCTAACGATGCACATGTTTAAGACGACGTGAGGGACACCCCTAGCCATAGCCCAGAGCTCAGGCACTTCTTTCAATGAAGAAGATCGAGAAGGTAACAATGTGAAATGCCCTTACTACCTCCCGCTCAATCTTCCAAGAGTAGAAATAAGAGATCACTCAGTACGAGCAGCAACTTGGTACTCAGGCAGGTCCCACCTCACCCATCTAGATGAGGGGCGATGGAATGGGCTGCAATATGAATTCAAGCATAACCAACGTTGAGCGGCCTTTTATCCGCCATTGCCACCCTCAAGTTACCTTCACTGTCTTTGCCGGACATGGGTTTGCTTACTAGGAGTGCTTGTCAGCCTAGCTGCCTCAGACCAACACATAATGCAGACTCTACGCTTCAGAATGGGTGACAATTCGTTACGGGCCTCCTCAGGATGGGGCGTGTCTGGCGAAATGCAACAAAAGTAAGTGAGGAGGAATAGAGGCATCAGGCAGTTCTCAAAATTACAAAGCCAACCCACAACCTTGCGAGCTGTCGAGACCTGCCGAGACATACTGCTCAACTACTAAGGCCTCAGCCAGCCTCACCGCAGCAAGTGCGGAATCGGGACTAGTCTACCTTGAGATCAGTCGACGGGATTCGCTCAGCAGAGCATTCGACTGCCGTCACTGGGCTTCCCAATGTATGTAGTCATCTTATTGTTGGCGAGTTCGCGCGGCTCTCGTCCGTGACAGGAACACCTCCGTTGAAGATGACGTAGGCAGCCTTCGACTAGGCCGTTTCCCCCATGTAAGCAAGGGATGTGGCGAGGCTGGAGTACCTCAGCTGAAGTACCTCAGCTGAAGAGTGCGGGCTGCGACCACGATCAACCCGAAAGTGTCAATGCTGTGGCAAGCAGGCAAGCCAAGCCGATGCCATTCGCGATGATGATTGTTTGGCAGTCTATCCGTACCACGCAGCACCATGATCGAAACTGGTACTGCGAGTGGCGCATTCAGGCGCGCATCATCGCGGCTACTGTTGTCCCCGCGACAAGGTCCCCCCGCGCCATCGAGCCATGCGATTGATGACGATGAGCATGGGTTCAGGTGAGTGCTGTTGTCTCGTCAAGGTCCTAAGCAGCGAGGGATCAGCGGCGGAAAGTGACAGCGACCAATGAGTGTTGACAGGCAGGGGACGAAATGAGCTCTGGCTAGGCCGTGGCTCAGCTGACGCAGCGTCTTGGGGGCCATCAGTCAGCAGAGAACTCACGCTCATCACACCAGAGGCTGAAGAAGATGGATGAATAGCAGCGGAAAGCGACAAATCGGAGTCTAAAGAGGCCTGCATAAAACCAGGGCGGCTTTTCTCTTCCCATAGCGTGCTGGACTGGGATTGGTCGCTTTCCCAACACATCGCGGGACCCGGACATCGTCGTCATAAGGAACACGATCCAACAAGAGAGCGAGAAGGGGTCAGTAATACCGCGTGGTAATGTAGGGTCTGGCGGCGAAGGTGAGTGATAGATTAGGCCAATGATCTCATGGCTCGAGAGTGAGTGATCGCGGGATCGAAGGGAGCGGAACGTTGGATGTAACTTTGGTTGCCGTAGGAAATGCTCCGCGGCATCGGTCGTGTCTGCTTTGTCGATTTTGTATCTGTTTGGATGGTTCAGCCACATTTGGGTAGCATCGCCTGTATGAAGTGCCACCCAAATGATTCCCAGTTCAGGTGCCTCGCCAGCTCCAGGGGCTACAGAATAGGCACTAGTATGGGGAGCTAGAGAATTGATGGCCGAATAGGGACGGACCTGGCTCCGAGGTGATTCGTCACAGGTTGGTAGCCGACTAAAGCTGAAGTATGTAATACCCAAGGCGACGTCGTTGATGGTTTGCAACGGAGTCGTTTCCATCCCTTCATTGGCCCATGTCTGACTCGTTCCTTGCGTACACTGTTGTTTTGCCTGGGCAGAAAGTTGGCAACCATGGCCGCGGGAGTCCGGTTTCTTGAGAACCGTGATTAGATATTGATATCATTCCACGATCCAAATGCCGCCGAAGGGAAGGCCGGCGACGGTACAAAGAATAGCGCCGCCTTTCCCGCCGTGTCCCTCAGAACTTGCAAGCGAAACCTATGCTGTCCAATGCTAGCCGTCCATCAAAAGAACCTCAGCCTCAGTTCGAGCGACCTTAGAGCTGAGCAAGACAAGGCAAGGCAGAGAGAGAACATGGTACAGGCTCACAACTACCTAGACGAGGCCCCGGTGGGTTGAAAGAAGACAGGCGTCATGACGGGTGCCTGGCAACGATGTGTTGACTGAAGTGCATGCGCGCTGCCGTCGCGCGGCCCGTCTGGTGCCGTGCTCTCTGCCTCTGTCGATTCTCTCTTCTGCACATTCAGCGTCGTGTTGAGAGGCAAGTGACTGCTTTGCGGCTCAACAATTGGAAAATGAGTGATGCTAAGAACAAATCGGCAGAAGCGATCGATTCCGTAATCATTAGCTTCATGCTTAAGGCAGTCGATCCAGCAAGAGGTCGGCTCATCGCCCACCCAAACCCTGAAGTGAGGGAATGTTCAGGTACAATCAAGGTACTCCCGGCCAGGTCTGCGGAGTTTGCGCGTGTAGCAAGCGGGATGCGAGGCGTTTGTAGCTGGGGAGCTCTTGGCCAAGTAGGCAGGTTCCTCGGCAGACGGCAGGTCATCAGCCACGGGCACTCTTACTGTCCGCTGAACCGCGTACCTGCCAGTGGTATGTAGGTGTGCTGTTGCGGGGGGAAAGAAGAAGAGAGGGGGCGATGCGTGGAGGAAGAACCAAGTCAAGTGCACCTGGAGGCTGCAGCCGTAAGCAGGGCGAGCGAGAATGGTGGGACGAGGAAAACAAGTATCGGTGACTTTGCCTGTCGGTAGTGCGGATGCAAAGCCACGTCGGTTTACGAGGTGAAAATTGGAACCGGGACCTGATATTCCCTGGCCGAGAACCTATGGGAAGCCACCGAGTGGGCTCGAGTGGAGACGGAGATGGACTTTTTAGCCACTCGCGTGTGTCCCAGACTCCCAGCAAAGGGGAAGAAGGGGAGGCTGGGGCATGGGGCTCTTGATTTTCTTGCACAGCCACCGCGGGGGCTGAATGGCCCTTGCTTTCGAGCTCCATTCCCTCAGGTTTCCTTCCCTTCCATTTCCCTCCGCGCCTCCCAGTCCCTCCCTCTCCCTCCTCGCCATCCAGCCTGGTCCCCGGAACCCGACTCCGTCGTATTCATAATTCCAATGTTGACCATCAACTTTCAAGTGCGGCGCCTCGTTTTCGGAATGCCACCCTTTGTCTTTTTTATGATATCCCGAGCTAACAGCAGCAGCAACAATGCACGTTTTTATTTTTTATGACCCAATATTGGTTCCATCAGTGTGGCGCTCAACAAGCCGCAACTATCGAGATAATCCAAACATGTATCAACAGAGCGTGGCGTAACTCAGAGAATGCCAAGACGGAGTTAGGGAGGGGAAGAGTGAGAAACCGTGTGTGTATGTGCGCGCGCGCATGGGGTGTGGCTTGAGATGTATGTCCGTCTGTGTACAAGGGCTGGTGAGAAGCCGCCTGAGAGAAGTTGGGGTGGGTGGGCAATGTATCTAGTACACCCATTCCTTAGCATTGAGCTACAAGTATTTCGTACTTTGGTCAACTCTGACGGGTAGGTACCATGACCGTGGTACGGGAAGGTACCTATCACCATGCCATATATCGGAGGGAGGCAGGCAGGCACGATAGGTAGGAAAAGGGAAGAACCTGACTGTTGGGCTCTTGGATTACCGACCTTCTTCGAACTCAGAGCCACAGAGGCGCAGACGTAAATGGTAAGTAGATGCAAGCAGCAGTATTGGCGACAGCAGCAGTCGAGATGGATCATGTTCCTAGTTCCAGTTCCCTCCTCCCGTCGTCCTGTCAGTTGTCCCCCAACGCTGCCGCGCTGCCGCAACCGAGAACGAACTGCCTTTGCGTGCGCCTGCGGGCAGCGGCCGGCCTCACCTTGTCCTGGTTGGTCACCTCAGGTAGGAGAAGAAAGGCATCCAATGTGATTGTAAGTAGGTAGGTACCTCGACTCGCGACGGCTTACCTAAGCTCGGCAGGCAGGCAGGCAGGTACGGATACCTCTGTCGTTCCTCACCTCAGGTGGTAGCGTGCGGCCGCCCCAGTGTGTGTGTGTGTGTGTGTGTGTCCGTACCTCCCGCACCCGCCGCCCGCCGCCTGTTGTGGCAGAAACCGCAAGCCCCAACTCGCCCTCATTCGCAGACGCCGTCACGCCTCTCTCACTCAACTTTCTGACCATTTGCCTTACTCTATCTTGCTGCACCCGCCCTCCACCCTTCCCTTTTCCTCCAGCTTCTGCCACACTTGGAATTCAGTTCTCTTTTCCCTCTTCTTCAACATCGCTACCGCCAGCCAGATTTCCACCCCGCCACTGGTTTTGCGCGCGTAACAAATTCAATTTCAAACGAATTACTCGCCATCGAGTCCGGCTTGCGTCAGCCATTATTCAATCCCGCCCAACTCGGTCCCGCCACATTCCACCGCGACTCGTCCGCTCGTCCCGTCAAATTCGGGGTCGTCCACGAACAAGAACCGCCACGTGTGGCTGAACGATTCGAAGCTCCCATGAATTGTCGCTGACCATCAACAACGTCGACAACGCGGTCGCATCGGAGCTTCCCTTTCCAATTCAACCCTCCAATTAATCGCTTCATGCTTGCGCCCTCTCATGGCCTCGGATAACGGTCCCATCGCGACCGAAGCCCCCCTCCTGGCAGCGACGACGCCGGTCGCATCAGACACTTTCGCGCTTGGGGGAGATCCTGCTCGTACCAAGTCGCTCAAGAGGGCGCGCGAGTCTACTCCTACTTCGCCCACGTCTGTTGTCGACCCTCCCGTCGAAGGCACCGTTCCTCCTGTCGCTCCCTCCATCGACTATCCCTCCCCTACGAAGTCTGCTCGTTTTGGCTTGGCATCGTCAAGACGCTCACCGACACCATTGACAGCCGCCGCGGCCCTCGAAGCTCTCGAAGAAGAACGCAAACGCGAACAGCGTCTCAACCCGCCCGCCTCAAGCGACAACCCAGGCCATTCAGTCCTTTCCGTACTAGCCGGTAGCGTTGCCGCCATGAGTCGACCCGACGAAGCACCGCAAGCTCCAACGGCTGCCATGGAGGTCACCACCAAGGCGCCCGAACCGGTGGTGTCAATCCCTCAAGTCAGCCATGCGCCCGCAGAACCTGCAGAGATCAGCCCTGAAAGCGCAGCAAGCGCAGCCAGTATCGCAGGCGCTTTAGTGACGGCCAGTCCAGGTCCAATGGAAGTTGATCCGAAAATGAGCGAGCAACCTCAACAGCCACAGCATCAGCCCCAGCCACCGCACCCGGCCCCGATTCACGATGAAAAGAATACGCCCGGATCACTTTCATATCCGGGTTCGCTCCAAGCCGCCGCCATGATGCCCGCACCACCGGCGCGCGGCATGAGCTTTCCCATGCCGTCGCCCGGTCACGATTCTCCGACTCAATCCGGCAAGAAGCACAAGTGCCCGTTTTGCGAGACGGAGTTCACGCGTCACCACAACCTCAAAAGCCATCTGCTCACGCACAGCCAGGAAAAGCCATACATATGTCAGGAATGTAACATGCGTTTCCGACGCCTCCACGATTTGAAGCGTCATAGCAAACTACACACGGGCGAGAAACCCCACATATGTCCCAAGTGTGATCGGAAGTTTGCCCGAGGCGACGCGCTTGCTCGGCATAGCAAGGGTGCGGGTGGTTGTGCGGGCCGTCGGTCTAGTATGGGCAGTTTCGACCAGACCGACGACTTGGACGGGCCGAGTATGCATGATGGCGATGATTCAATGGCTGGCATCGTGTACGCCAACGAAGAAGACTTGACGGAAGAAGAGAGGCGCCTAAGCCTGCCGAGCATCAAAGCGCAACACATTGCAGGTGGGCCGGGCAGCATCGATGGATACAACGCTCATTCGCGTTCATACCCACCAGCAGGTCCACGACCCGGAACCGGCGGGCTCTACCCGCCCAACGTTGACCGCGGTACAGCAAGTTCAACCACGTCTCCAAGCATGCCCAACAGCATTGCTGGTGCTCACACACCGAATACGAGCGTGTCTTCGGTGCCCGTAAGTGGTGCTTCTGTCTACTCGCAAAGTGGCATGACGGAGAGCCCAAAGCCTTTGAGCCCCGGGCACGATACAAACAACATTGCGAGACAACGTTCGCCAAGTCTGACGCAGCAGTTCCAGCAGCACCAATATGGCCGCAGACCTTCCGATAGGAATACTTCACCAAGTGAGTCGTGTTCCTTTTTGAGATTTCCGATCGACTTTGTGCTAATACTATCCTGTAGCTTTTGCTGCTCCTGCATCACAGGTCGGCGCTACTCCGACAGGGGCTGGCCACGCTCGTGGTTCCAGCGGAACGCAGCCCGGAAGTGGGGCCGAGAATGGCGGCAACATGTTCGCTACGGACCCGGGCGTCTGGGCGTACATCCAGAGCCTCGAAGACAAGGTCAAACAGCTGTCAGATAAGGTCACAGCTTTTGAGAAGGCAGAGAGCGCGAAGCAGGCTCAGATCGGACTGCTCACGAGCGAAGTCACGGGACTCAAGAAACAACTAGAGGCTCGCGGTGACGAAGCGACGGAGGTCAAAGTATAATGCAGCACACGCAGGTACAAACGACGGCATGTTCTCAGCCGTCGGCGCAACCTATCACCTATGTAACAACGATGAAATGTTTCTGGTGGGGAGTGGGCAAGAGGATACCTCATGCGGCGGTAGCAGGAGGACAAATTGGCGTTTTTCACTCATTGTCGGCGTCTTGATTTCTCATCTCTCGTTTATCACACCAATGTTTCTGCCTCTCTGACCCATCAGTTAGCAGGACGACCCGTTCGTCCCGGGGGAAGGCGTTTTATTTAGGGCACTGGTAGATGTGCACGGTGGACCTCGATATGAAAAAAAAGTTTTGAGTTGGTCCGTCGTTGGAGAACGGGGCCGAGTCTACGACATGTCCCAGGGGTTTTCCGCAACGGATTTTTTCCTTCTTCAGTCTGGCAGTTTTTTCTTCACCCGAGGATCCTGATATCGGCTTTCTCCCTCCCATGTATTATAGCGGTCGTTGCAGAAGTCTAGCCTCGAGGCTGTAGGTCTTCCTTTAGGAGACGAGAATATCGGAATTTCAATGCCCTTTAGACATACCCACCCGTCTCACGAAAGACTTTCCTCAAGCTTTGAATTCGAAAGCAAGTCTCGTGAGGTAGGCTCTGCGGGCGGGTCAACTTGGACTCTTCAAAGTTTACAAGAATGGAGAGCCAACCGGTCCAGTCAACTTGCGTTGATTGACTTCTTTGTTCACTGTGCTCAACTTTCGTTATCCGGGCCAAACAATCAATCAATCAATCGAACCTCGGTTCACCCTCAGACTGGAGCATTACCTGCTATGCTACAAGTTCGTTGCAACTTGCAAGGGCACACATGCAAGGGGTATTTGTACTCACGATGTCGTTTCAACATGACACCAAAAGTTAGGTATTCGGGCCAGCACGTAATAAACCCCTTTGGTTCGGATACCATGTAAGATGAAGTGGGAACTGTTGAGGTGCCATACCGTGATATCATCAAGCCAAGCCAAAGCCAAGTCGAAGCCCAGAAAGAGCCCTTTGCTTTGCTTGTGTATGTATCTAGAGCAGAGCCAAAAACACAATGCTTGGAGCGTCATGTCGCGAGAGGGAGGGAGGCGAGGTTTTGTTGCTCTTGGACCATCTTGACAATAGAGCGCCCAAAGCCTTCCCGCCAAGCATACCGTAGAGATGCTATCGGGAAAAAAGATACATACGAATACTCAAGGGATACATCAGCTGTGAAGGGGTAGGGAAGGGAGGGGGGAAAGAGACAACCGCTTCCCTTCCCCCCCTGGATCGTGATAACGGACAGAGAGTCTAACCCCTCTTCCTAAGCACTCTGGGAGAGTAGGTAAGAGGTTGCATACGAACAGACATGGGTTCTCGTCCACGGTAATCCCGTCGATACGGTACGCACTTGCGCTGGGCTCAACGGTTGCGCCATGGCGGCAGTCATTTCTGCACCATCAAAATCGATCACCGGCCGCCGCCGCCGCCGACCAAGGTGTCGCCGGTAGTCGTTGGAATGCTCGTCTCTCCAAAACACAAATTTGTCAACAATGGCCCAACTAGTGGTCACAATAGTGAGACAAGAAAGGTAGCCTGTTTGAGATGCATTAGTGACCGTCAACGCTATGTCCACGATGTGTCTGCAGAGTAACACGAGTCGTGTTGCAAGTCGAGCTCGTCAGGTTCTGAGTACATCTTGCGACGCGATGGGAAAGGGCGCGAGAGCTTGCATCAGGAAGAAACGAGACGAGAGCCATATGCGATAGATGGTGCCATGTCTCGACAGCTGCCGTCAGTCAGGAGGTGTAAGTTCAATCAGGAGATGAGTGGAATAATTCGAGTGCCGCAATCGTCATTCCTGTGCCTGATAATCAATCGTCCCCTGTTTCTGGCCAATGTCTCTGGTCAAAACAACGGCGGTCCCGTCCCGTGAGGCCCTAGAAGCCGCGAGGTGAGCGTGGGCCAGAGCGAAGAGCAGTACTTGACCACGGGTGTGGATATCCAAACTAACGTCGAGTCTGGAATGCATCGACGGATAGCGTGTTTTTGCAATTCATGTGCAAAGCGGTCGGATGAGTCTCGTGGACGAGTTGGCGTTGTTTTGATCAAAGTCGCGTCATTCTGCTGGTATGGAACGGACGCAAGCCAGGAATCTCTCGTCCTGGGAGTTGGCGTCATCCTGTATACCTTCGAGGTCGCGGGTGAGGGCCTCGCTGGTGTTCAAGATCACAAATTCCGAAATGCGAAGTTTGGTGGGTATTTTTTCAGTGACGCGAGACCAGTCACCAATTGGGTGACTTGCACTTGAGTTTGTCGTAACATTTCG